AATGTCAGCAGACAGCAAGAAGCCTCCCAGATCTCCAGATGCATTTGAGATATCAAAAAAGTACTCCAGAGTGTTGTTCAGCATGGGGGTGAGTAGAAAATGAAGGCTAATCATGTTTTGGGTGTACTATTCCTCTAAGGTCTGTTACTTTGTCACTTTTAGGCTGCTTTTTTATTTAAAATAGTTCTGACTTGGATTATCTGGTTTGAACTCATTACTAAACCTATAAACTAAAGAATAAACTGGTTGGGATTTTGACCAACCCAAAAATATCAACCCAGGCCTATTTTTAAATTAACAGCTGGCTAGTTAAAACTTGAACACAATAAGGTGTTCTCACTGGGCTGTGTTTCAAAACACACAGGAACTGTCTGATAAATCAGATTGAAGTCACCAAACTCAATCTGGGTACCTGAGATGGAAGTAATACTTCCAATGGTATCCAATTATTCTCAAAAGAACAGTGCTTAAGTATTCAAACAGAAACATTCCAGGCTATTGTTGATCATTACAGAAATAAAGCATGGTCAGGGTGCAACTCGCTAAGGTTCAATTAACCAAAAAATGAGAAACAAAGAATTTATTCCTCCAAAAATGTAATTTCATGAAATTTTTGACCATGATGAGTTTTTGTAAACTTCTGACCAGAACTTTAGCCATTACAGAGAAACCTTTCCTTATTAAAGCCCTGTGTTGGATGCTGTAGAAGGCTTCCCAGAAGTAGGTGCCCTTTTAGAAAAATGTAGCAAACATATACCAGCAGTCTTAATATTCAGACGGCTGGTTCCATTATTCACTCCAAAAGCTGCCACAGGGTTCTCATTTAGTATTGACTAGAGTTGCATAAAAAGAGAAACTTCGCATGACCTTTAAATTCTGCACTGTTATTCATTTGTTATTTCAGCGTTGTTGCAAAACTCACAGATTCTCATATACAGCATGTTATATTAAGACTGGAGTCTTGTTTTGTATTTACAGAAACCATTAGTGTCAGATAAAAACTACTTAACCGTCAAAGACATAGATGTATAACAGAAGGTCATGAACCAGAGCATAAAACATCGCTTATCGGAAACGTGCATAATTTAAAAAGTTTAAATTAACTTATTAATTTATAGGCAACATTAAAACTTAATTATGTAATCAACAAGCTCTTTTCATTAATTAATGTAATTAACATAACATTAAGAGGTCGGGCTATATCTTTCCACAATAACTAAATTGCATCTATAATGGTCTCAAGTAAGTGTTATTAAAAGTTTGTAACAGAAGAGGGCGCAGGTTATCTTCAAGTGATGCAGGTAGGAATTTTACGAAAGAGCAGCTGGAGTGCATGAACACCAGAGACTAACATTAAGATAAAAAACACACATCTTTGCAGAAAATGTTCTTTCCTGTATGCGAGATGTGACAGAGGGAGCATGCATGCATATCCAAACATGTGTTCACCCACCTGGCTGGTGTGCAGCCAGTACTGCAGGGTGTTTGAGCGTCGGAGGCGGGGGACCACCAGGTGATAGAAGGTGTGTTCACCTGCCAAGGTCAGCAGAGCTCCCCCGACTCCCATGCACAGCAACACAAACAGACCTGAAAAATGCTGGATCCCCATCTGTAGAGTCTGACAAAGAGAGGAAGATGAGGGATTATCAGAAATTGGTGGATCTGAAAGCCGACAGAGAATCAAATGCAAAGCTTTTTTATTTATTCTTAAAGTAATTACCATTAAGGCAACTGCATGTGACTATGCAATTGATATTCTGCCGTTGTAGTGTGGCTGTGTAAGCCCATAAGAGTATTAATAAAGTGTAACAAAACATGCAAGGGGAGGAGAGGGAAGACAGACAAGGGGAGAAATGGGAGGTTCAAGTAAGGGTAATACAAATAAACAGCAGTTAGAAGAGAGAGACAACAAAAAGGGGAAAACAGTTGAATAAGAAAACACTGTTTCCTTTCTGTTTGCCAACAACCCTTTCTCAAGCAACATTCATCCACTGGAGAAAGTGGCAGAGCTGGTGGGGATCTCTTCCAGTACCCTATAATTATGTTTCTCTCACCCAACTCATTTCATCGCCGCCTCTGATGGCAATTAGCCCCATGCTGACTCAACAAATTCATCAACATCTACATTGACCTCCTTTTGCTCCTGATCCAGGGGGCCAAGTTTGCACTAATGCTCACATTGTTTCAGAGTAGCCAGCTATCCAAGCCTTAAATGGGATGAGGACTAATACATTTCTGGTGCGGGGTGAAGTTAAGGTTGCATAATTGCGTTTTGTTACCATATTTCAACTTTGAAGTAGGATTTTTTTTTTTTTTTTTAAAAGGATGGCCAAAGGGAGTTGGATTGCTTCTCATTTTGCAGAAATGAGATAGAGACAGACAGAGGGTTGTGTCTAGGGATTTTCACTCTTAAAAAAAACTGAAAGGAGAAGGGAACGCAGAGAACTTTATGTACTCTTCAATCACACTCAAGAAAGTTGAAATGGATGCGGACACTTGGTTTGTGCATGAAACTCTGGTTAAGGTAGGTGCATGGAACAGAATTTAATTAATGTTACTGCTTTATGTGTGCATCTTTGTGCACATGTGCTTTAGCTGGCAGTCAATCTCGTCTCCATCCTAAAAGGGGGACTCATTTATAGAAGTACAGCAGCAGAAGGCTTTGCTTTGTACACAATACACGTTCACCATGTGAACACTCCCACTGATGACTTACCTCGGTGACTGCAAAGACTCTCTTTCCGCAGGGTACAACCTTATACCATTTATCATGCAGCATGTCCATAAAGCCGTCAGACTTGTAGCGACTCACAAACTCTGACACATTACGGGTCAGAGGAGAGCCCTGGGGAAGGCCTATGCCATAGCCTGCAAGTAGACATAGACATGGATGTAAATACATGTTGCCTCAATGCAGTAACTCAAAACTTTAGCTGTGCTGGAGGAATGGGGCTAACAAACTTTGTGGAAAATAGTTGGCCACTTTCATATAGCCAAACAGCAGATGCCCTCTGGAAATATGCAACTTTAGTTTGCAGGCTTCACTTTAAATTAGACTCAACCATTTTCTTTAACCCAAGTAGGGTGAATATGCAGTGCAAAGAGACAACAGAAGAGAAACACAAGATCTAGTGCTCGTTATAAGCAACAGCTGTGATTTACAGTAAGTAGCCACTTTATTGGGTACATTTCACTTATTGGACACCATTCTGGCTTGGCTTCAGGACTGCCTTCATTTCTCTTGCCATCAGTTCAACAAGGTTTTAAATAATATCTCCCTGATATTTTTCTTCAAAATTAAATACCAGCATCACACGCTGCACATTCATGATAGAAATCTTCTGTTCCACAATATCCTAAAGCTGCTCTGTTGGATAAAGATCTGGTGACGGTTGAGGCAATTGCAGTAATTTATTGTTGTGTTCAATAAACTATTTAGGGGATGGACAGGGTCAGTACTGATATTTAAATAGGCTGCAGCATTTAAACAATTTCCCCCCTGGTACTGAGGGACACAAGAAAATCTTCCCCACACAATTACACCATCACCATCAGTCTGAATAGCCAAATCTATTTTTCAAATCAAATTTATTTTTAACACTATCTGAATTTTAGAATTAGAATTAAACTTTACTGTCATTACATTGTCACACGTAAAACGCAACGAAATGTAGTTTGCATCTATCCAGAAGTGCTATACAGGATATAAATATTTATTTACATCTGCACAGAGACTATGTATATATTGACTATAAATGTTATATATAAGCACAGAGTGATTGTAACAGGGTATAAAATAAATTATTATATGAAAACTATATACAGATTATACAGGAACATTAGGATATAGATATTAGTGGGTTTATAATATAGTATAAATAATGACAGATAATAACAGAAAAAAATATTTTCAGATTATATACAGCTAGAGTTGTATACTGTAGTTGCATAGTAACTGGTGTTGGTTCCATGGATGTGTGTGTGAGGACCGTCCATAAGCTATTTTACTGTGTTTTGGGGGGGTGTACTGTTCTAATGGTTGGTGTCAGGAGGCGTTCAGGAGCCTGACAGCTGTGGGAAATGGTAGGAATGTTTCCACCGAACCAAGCTTTCACTAAATGCTTCTGTTTCTTCTTATTATCACAGAAATAACACATCCTAGGTATTTTCAATCTTTTTCACCTAAAGCTCATTAAAATGCAACAGTTTGGGCTAGAATTTGCATCAAAATAATAAAGAACATATTTAACAAAGAAATCTAGGCTGAATGAAGTTTATTTGTATGCAAAAGGGGGCAAGCAAACTTTTTTGTTCTTGTTGGAAAACAGTTAAGCACATGTTAACCCCAACCAACTTCTCTGCGCATCTTTTCTCCTTTTTCAGACCTCTCTCTAAAAACCTTGAGGTAGTGATGATATAAAAATAATCGTGGGATCAGAACATCTGTAAACACCAATTATGCAATTACGCATCGTTCGTCCTTTCTGATTGCTAGTTCAGATTTCATCTTCATCATGTTCAGATGCCTACATGCATTGAGTTTCTGTCATGTGATTGGCCTGTTCACTGTTTGTGTCAATACGTCTATCATTGTTAGGATCAAATAGTTAGCCACATTAATTTACATTTCTATCCTTTCATATTCTAATACTTGTAAAGTATTTTGCAGCATGAAAGTAACTGATCTAAATATCAATGTAAAGAGAGAATTCTTTTCTCAGGACCAAAAGAATCAGAACAAAAGACATAAATATTAGCACGGGGTCTTTCATTTCCTCTAATTTGTATCTATACAAACAGACGCATAGATTTCTGCAATCTTCTATGTGTGAGATTGAAGAAAATGTTCTTCTTTGTCCTTTTGTTAAGACTAAGTGAAGCATTCTAAATATTCTTTGACTTTTGTGAGAAACACAATATTATTCCTGGTACTAATTTCCGTATCCAGTTCTTAACCAACAGTCGCTTGTCTGATTCAGGCAAAACAGATGTTCCAAAAACTTCATCCATATAAACTTTCATCTACGGCTTTTTTAAATACATTTTAAAAAGCGAGGGATCTGTATCTGTGTTTTAGTAACAATACAAGTCCTGAATCTGAATCTTTCTTAAGCTCTAGAAATACTACATAGAAGTTCACATTGTTTCTCTTTGCATACATAATAAAATTCTATCATATATCCTCCAGCAAACATTGCTTTCTACCATTAACCTCACCTAACTGCTGTTAATAGCTATTGATCTTAACGTCCACAGCAATGTTACGTGCCAATAACTCCTGAAAATGCCACTTTTCATGGTGTTGGAAGGACTACACTTCCTGAGAAATCTCGACAAACAAACAGTATAATTTATAGCAGATTACTCTCTAGAGAGCTGGATTTATCCTCTTAAATGTGGTTTGACCCGATATAATGCAAAACACGGTAAATCCATTGTAATGTGGTCAGATATTACCGCTTCATGCAGAGCCGATTAAGAAACTTTGAGGAGAAAAAAAAAAATCACTCATACAGGTAACTATTGCTGATATCCTGACTTGCACCTGATTTTCAGATGTGAAAATGGCAAATAGGCTGTACTACATAATGCTTTTTTTGGGCCAGGAGACTTGACCAAAGAACTTTATACTACATTCACACATTCATGCACAAACAGGTGAACTAGACATGTTTCCATCCAACTAAAATGCGAATTTTAGTTGGATGCAAAGTATTATAGAAAAAGCTAATGGAAACACACTCTGACAGAAGCTAGGTTGCCGTACACAGGCGCCACTGGTTCCTCTCACCACAAGAGGAAATGTGGGAAGGTGTCTTTCCCAAGGACACAACAACATTGAAAGCCAGAGCCGGGGATTGAACCGACAACCCTGCAAACCTTCTTTAAGAATCTGCTCAGCACACATTTTAGAAACGCACAGACCTTCTTAAAATCAGGTACAGTATGTTCTACAAAGTTCTTTCCTTTTTCTTCCTCCTTCATCTTGCAATTCAATTTGATTTATAAATCGTGACTGATGAATCACTAAAAACTGTTTTTGCAATATATTTCATAAGATTTTATAAGAATGAAAACATTTTTATAAGTAGAGCATGTTCTAGAGGAAGTATGTATGCCTCAAATGAAGTCTATAAATCATTAATAGAGATGTTTGGAGTTTCATAACCTACCTGAGGAACCTTGTTGCAGCTCCCTTTGCTTCTCTCTTTATGTATCTTATGTCTGAAGCACTGTAAATAATGGCCACTAATGGCACAAACTCTACAAAAATTCTTGTTATAAATTGTTGAATATGTTCAGCATTACTAGTAAGTGACAGAGAGTGCAACCTACAAAACAACAGCTAGGGAGTATGTTGCTACATAATTTGTATCCATATAACATTCTGGACATGTGGATAAATGGATTTTGTAGCACATATTCAGCTGAGGCTGAGCAGGAACATTACAGCAACAGCATTTTCAGTGCCATCAGCGAGCAGTGTACTAACTTTATGGTAGAACGGTTACATTCATCTATTCCTCACAATAATGAACATGATTGCCTGTTGGAAATTTACCAAAAAACAAGAGAATGACTCTCAGCCTGAGGGTAAAAAAACAAAACAAAAAAAAACAGAAAATATGATTACATAAAATAAAATACCTCATGCAGCTTTTGGATATAAAACCTGACTAATTTTTTCATTGAGGCATTTGTTTTTAATCAACTCAGGTGGGGGCCCTGAATTAACTACACTCCTAATAAGTGTTTTTTGTGCTCTTTCTTATGTCATTGTGCATTGTGCACATCAGTCTGTTGATATAAATATCTAACTGACTGTATATTGACTGTGATTCCACTGGGGAAAGAAATAGATATAGAAATACAGAAAATTAATTGTGAAAGAGACACAACATGCTAATGACAGCCTTGCATTTCTGAAAACAGCGAGATCTTGAAAAAAAAAACAAACGATAAAGCTATCCAAGTTTAAAGGGATAGTGGTGGTGAATAGTCATCCATGCAGAAACTCTGATAAGGCCAAGATGTTATATTATAGATGACTTTGATTTTTAAGACTTGACATTCGAATGGTTAATTTAAAATGCTGGTGAAGATTCTAAGTCATCCAGCTCATAGTCATTCCAAAAAAGGTTTTTAAAGTTAAGAAATAAACCACTAGATTTTGTTTTCCAAGTTTGAAGACCTTTCCTTTCTCATCCAGGAAGCTTTCTTAAATTAAAATGTCTGGATTAGCGTTGAGATCCAGGCTTTATAGAGTAGCCCAGCGAAGCCTTGTTATGGCTTAGAAAACCTGCAAATTGAACCACTCCTTAGTAATGGGGAGTCATTGAAGTTAATCTAAAATATTTCTGTGCTTCATGAGTTGCAAAAATATATATTATCAGGTTAATGATTTCCACCTGGGTTAGAAATACAAACTTTGTTAGAATGAAGTTCAGCAAACTACTGTGCCAAGAAAACTTTAGGAACAGCTTTTGGAAATTATAAAATATCCTGATTTAGTTCAACTAGAAAACTTTTGGAAGTTCCTTTAAATGAATCCAAGTTGGTTGATCTGAAACCTATTTCTCCAGAGGAGAAGATGAGCTCAGACTGTTGGATAATTCTAATGCAAACAAGAGTTTAAAAATGATGGATTGTCAAAAATATGCATCAGTACTTTTACAAAGTGGTACTTATCAAATAATGTTTGTGTAAATATAAATAAAAATCTAAAAAGTATTTGAGTTATGTTTATGCATGAGAACATTTCATGAAATAAGGCTGTAATATGTCTAAAACACCAAGACAAATGCTGTGAGTAAATGAAATCACTACATGGCTCATTAAATCAGCATGGTGTGTAGACACTGTTATGT